TTGGTTGGTTGGTTGGTTGGTTGGTTGGTTGGTTGGTTGGTTGGTTGAGACAGAAATCTTTCTGTGTAGGCCTCACTGTCCTGGAACTCACAGAGATCCGCCTGCATCTACCTTCCAAGGGCTAGGATTAAAAGCATGCACAGCCACACCCACCTTCCACTTGGGCTTTTGTGGGCTGTTTATGTCTTGTGAAGTATTCCATCTTCAGTGTTGGTTCTGAGAGCGGTGTTGGTACGGATACAAATACTAACTTTAACAAGAGCAGTCTTGTAGCAGGGGAGGGGCTGGGAGGAGAGGTCTGCAGAATGCAATGGCAGTAGTCACTTAACACTAATGTTTGTGAAGTGTTTCAGCTCCCTCAACATCGATATGGGTCGTTCACAACATTGTTCTAAGAATGCAGCCAGCCTCGTGACACCATACCCAGGAACAGTTTGTGGGGAAGCCCCTTGGTATAGAGAGAACACTGGGAGTCAGCGGCTGAGGGACACTGTGGGAAGATGTGGGGTCATGATAGATGCAGCCCTGTTGCTCCCAGAAAGGGACTTCAGAGTTGCTCGTGGCATTTGACATAAACTCTTCCCAGCATCTTTTTAATCTTGTCGTGTAAGCCCTGGAGCAAGGTGAAGGGGGCCCCTATGTAGGGGGATCCATCAGGCATCCCAATCTCAAGGCTCTGCCAGGTGCTTTTGAATGATGGTTTTGTTTGTTTGTTTGTTTGTTTGTTGAGGCAGGGTTTCTCTGTAGCCCTGGCTGGCCTGGAACTTGCTCTGTAGACCAGGCTGGCCTTGAACTCAGAGACCTGCTTGCCTTTGCCTTCCCGAGTGCTAGGATTAAAGGCCTGCACCAGCACACCTGACTTGAATGAAGTTTTAATGCTGCCCCAGGGAGGATTCCTCTCCTTTCCCTTAATATATCCTGCTATGGCAGCGAGGGCTTTGAAACCGTGTGTTTTTTCCTACTAAAACCCTCTCACATCTGGCTTGAATTAATCGAGCTGGCAGAAGCAAAAAGAGAACGTGTAAGCATGTCATAAACAAGAATCTGCTCCAGCTCTTTTTTCCCCTAGTTTGTAAAACTGACATTTTGTTTCCGTGAACGTGGAGACTCCTTCCAGCTGCCTGCTAAATTATTCCAGCTCTGTAAAGGAATTTCATCTCAGTCAACACATTTGGCTGTTCCCTGGAGCTTTCAGTTCTCACCCTTCAATGCTTTTTAGCAAATCTGGGGTCTGAGGAGACCCAGCTGGGGACTTCGTCCTTCGTTCTGAAAGCTAAGAGGGAAATACATCACAAAGTTGTGATTTCCCTGTTTTTCATTCATCAAAAAAATTCATTGACTGCTAGCAGCTCGCTTGAAGTGAAGGCTGAGCCTGTTTCCACCTGTGAGGCCGGTCCTGCCCTAAGTGCTGGGACCACAGAAGACCACCATGCTGCTTCTGTGGCTGCAGTTTTGAAAACTACAAAAAGGAGCCGATGAAGCTCATTAAAAAAAAAAAAAATCATTTGACCCACTCTATGCGATCACAGTGAAATCAATATAGAAATAGGATTCGTGAGGTCATTTACATTTTAAAGTTGAGTGCACATTTTACGCTTCATATTACATCTGCATTCAGATTGGATGTACTTCAAATCGTGGGGGCTGTATGTGGTTGACGAAAGATGACTGGGTGCAAGGTGACGGACGGTGGGAGGTTCACACAGCTGAATCAGGCACCGTAGCCTGCTGGTCAGGCTTAGCAGGCATCGCAAACAACAGCTCTGTGTTTCAAACTGGCAACCCAGAAATCTGCCTTGATCACCTGAGATCATTTCCTATGTCCCCTGGGCTTCCAGGCTGAATTATGAACGCCTTGTTGCTTCTGGGATTTGTGCTCCATGAAGCCATATTAAATGTACCTACCTCCTCGGTTCTAAAGTCTGACAAATGAAGAAAACACCAGAGGATTTCCACTGAGATAAGTGAGAAGCAAGCATTTATTTTTACTGTTTTATTTTGAGATAATTATAGCCACACAGACAGATAGGAGAAAGAATGCCAACAGATCCCTTCTTCTACCCAGTTCTCTTCAGTGATAACAGCTTGAGAAGGGATAGTACCCTATCAGAATGATGATGGTGATGTTGTCATGGCTACCATTAGGCTACAAAATTTCCACCACTGCAGGCTCATTTATGTTGTCCTTTATGAACCAAAGTCACTTCCCTCTGACCACCACATCTTCATTGACTCCAGCAGTCCTAATCTGCTTCATTTTAAGGAACTTTTTAATTCCTGACATTGAATTATATAGTATACAAACCTTGGGGACTGGCTGTTTTCCTCAGTCATGGTTCTTTGGAGAATCACCAAACTGTGGTTCAGCAGTTGCTCCCTTATGCTGCTGAGCAGCATCTCCTGGCATAAGTGTACTGCAGGTGCGCTGTGCATCTGCTGAGGGACAGCTGCGTTGTTTATGGCATTACGGTTTGGGTTGTTCTGGAGCTGACATAGCCACTTGTGTTAGGTGTTCCTGTGAATACTAACTCACCGTTTATCTGAGAGAAATGCCCAAGAGAGCAGATCCTGGGAAATATGGCCATTGTATGTTCAGCTCACAAGCTGTGTGAATATGGTCCAGTTTCTGTGCATCCCCGTCAGCATGTGATAATGTCCTTACGTATACATTCTGATTGATTTCTAATGCTATGTCAAACTGCTTTCATTCACGTCACTCTAATAGGGCATCTTGTCATCATTTGTCATTTTTACCCTTGGGCGAACTGGATAATTTGGTGTTTTCTACTGAGTGATTTCTACACTGGGCAGTGTACTTTATCAGCTCTGTGGTTTTCAAGTATTTCCCCCCTGGTGGGTTTTTTTTTCTTTTTTTTCAGTTTTCTTAACAGGTTATTCCACAGAGCAGAAGTATTTGATTTAGTGCACTCTCACTAAATCCTGTTGTCTTTATGGCCTATGTTTGGGCATCAGTCTGAGGGCCTTTGCTCTGTCCTACTCTCTACTGGCGGTTTTCTCAGACAGTTTTCCCAAGGTCTTGCATTTTGTACTGGAGCACAGAGCAGTGTAGTCTTGGTGTGAGACACGGGCCTTCAGACTCCTGTTTTTGTCTGTTTGTTTGCTCCAACATTTGTTGGAGACGGTGCCTTTCCTCCATTTAAATGCTCTTGTGCCTCCACAGAGTCAGTTGGCCTTGTTGGTGGTTCTATCTCTGGTTCTTTGTTCTGTCTGAACTCCTCTTCCTGAATCTTTCTTCACTGCACATTCTTATACAACTCATCTCCAAATAAGCCAGCCTGAATCCTCTCACTTTACTCTCTTTAAACATCAGCTACTCTAGTCCCTTTGCTTCTCCACATAGATTTGCTCTGAAGTTTTCTTTACGTGATGTTTGATTATGTTTGCATGGTACAGCTTTTTCCCTTTCTGGTTTTGCCTTTTGGGGCCATGTCATATTTCAAGAACATTTCTTCAAGACATGAACAGACTTACTAATACCAAACAAATACATCAAAGGAGGATCAAAAGCACCAAACATTAGAAAAATGCATGGTGGAAACACAGTGAAGTATCTCTGACTAAAAGATTGCTCACAGTACCCAGTGCTTGGGAAACATCCAGAGCTGTCATATTCCGCTGGTATAAACACTACTTGATACAACCACTTAAGCCAACTATTTCTTATAAATGTTAGCCAGTAGCCAACAATTCTGCTTCTGGTGTTTGCTATTAAAAAAAAACAAAACCAGAAACAAACAAAAAATAAAAAACATATACTCATACCAAAGGCTGTATAGAGATGTTTACTGAGACTTCATGGATCAGAAGTTGGTGTCTCAACATCCCTCAGCAGATGAATGGGTAAACAGACTGTGTTCATCCCTAAAATGGAGTCATTCTCAACAATAAGCATGGCTGGCAGACTTGGGAAAAAGTCAAAGCATTTCACTGGGCGAAAGAAGCCATTCTTCATTGAATACATGCTAGATGTTCTCATTCCACCACAGCCTGAAAAAGGCAAAGCTACAGGGATGATCAGTCAGTGGGAGGAGGGCCTTTGAAATATGGAGTTTTGTGACCAGAAGGCTGTAGCTGGGGAGGTTTGGTGGAGATGGAACTGTGCTGTGTCCCATGTGTGTGTTGTACTCTTAGGATGTCCTCTCAAGGGCTTTCTGCTTGTTTGGAGGTGGGTTTTGTTTGTTGGTTGTTTGTTCTGTGTATGGCTGTCTTGCCTGCATGTGTACCAGAAAAAGAGGACATCCAATCCCCTGGAACAGGAGTTACAGGCAATTGTGAGCTGCCATATTGGTGCTGGAAATTGAACCCAGGTCCTCAGGTGTTGCTCTTAACCACCAGGCTATCTCTCCAGCCCTGGCTGTTTTGGTTTTTTAAAACAGGATCTCTTGTAACTTGGGCTGGCCTTGAACTTCTTATTATTCTACCTCTGCTTCTCAAGTGCTAGTGTTATAGGCACAAGGCACTTCTCTAAGCATGGGAAAGGGCTTTTTAAATAAGTAACATCATTATAAAGGGCTGCGGGGTCCCCCTGAAATTGTGCTGGGGATAATCTAGTCTGATTAGAACCAGCTCCTCTATTGTACTTATACGTGATTTCAGTAAGGGCTTGTGGCTAGTATTCACAAGGGCCATGAAGAGTAGTGTGACAATAAGGCAGTTGCTCAGTTCAGTCACCTTGACATCAGACATTAAGATATCCAAGATAAGAGGCCTGGCCGCTGCCATGGGACACGGGTTGTCGGAAGACACCCAGAGGCCCACCTGCCTCCTGGCCCACCCGCAGTATGAGCCACTGCAGTGTGCAAGTATGTGGTAGAGGGATGGGAGAGAAAGAGAAACAGAACAGTGTGAGCACTATGCAGAGAAGCCGAGCTGGCGAGGATGGGGAGGAACAGCCTGGCGTGAGTAGCATGCCCAGCCACCAGAGGCCATGGTGAAATCCTGGCCCATGCTACCTCTGAGGGCCAGATCTGGGTCCACAGTCATGCCGTAGCAGGGAATCTGTGTCAGTACCTGTGGCCCGTATTACCACCAAAGGCCATGCAGATGCCTCTGGTCTGGGCTGCTGCCTGGGACCATGTTGAGGTCCAGGGGCTGTGCAGAGCTGGCCCTGCCCCTCAGCAGCTGCAGCACTCAGGAGAGAGGGCCCTGCGCCTCCCCTGAGCAGCACAGCAGAGCAGGCCTTGCAGGCGTGGGTGCAGGCGAGCAGCCCCTCCCGTGCTGCCTCAGCACCGGGCAAGCTAGCCAGGCCAGTGCTGGAGAGCTCGCCCTGGTGGCGTGGCTTCGGGAGAGCAGGCGGGCTGACAGCTCAGCTACCATCCAGGACCAGATCCAGGGCTTTGAGTTGGCCCACCTGAACATCTGCCCCCATCTATGAACTGCTGGAGCATGTGAGGGGCCTGTCCTGCTGTTCCAACGCTGCAGGGTTTCCATGACACAGAACAACAACAGCATATCCAAGAGGAGTCCCAGGGAGGACCAGTATTGATAGCGTAGCAGGAGCCAGAGGCCACAAGCCAGACCAATGGCTCATTGCAATGAACGTTTGCAAGTACAGATGTGTGGATAAAAGGGTATATTGTGGGACACGCTACAGCGTCCACGATGAGATTCTGTTTGTTTGTTTGTTTTGGTTTCTTTTGTTTTATTGTTATGATTATTTTTTATTTTCTTTTGTCAGGGAAATTCCAAGGGCAGAGGGTCAATCGGAATAGATGAGTGGTATTTCATGATGTGAAATTCACAAAGAATCAATTAAAAGTTTTTTTTTAAAGGATATATAAAATAGGTACCTGTCACCATGCCTGACAGACTGAGTTTGGAGATCATGGCACACCACACACACACACACACACACACACACACACACACACACACACACACACAGAGGGACAGAGAGAGAGAATTTTTAAAACATCCAAAATAATGATTTTTCTGAGTGAGTAATGCTCTTTCCACAATCTTCTATTTTAACTATGTATTCCATAAGTTTGTAGGTAGGCTAGGCTATATCAAGAGAATCAACTCTTTGACTCAAAAATATATGGAGGTGGCACATGCCTTTTCCTAGCACTTGGGAGGCAGAGGCAGGAGGATCTCTGTGAGTTTAAGGCCAGCCTGGTCTACAGAGTGAACCATGGGCAACCATGGCTACACAGAGAAACCCTGCCTTGAAAACATATATATATATATATATATATAATGCACATATGTATGCAGCAAGGCTTTTGGTCTACCATTGGCTTAGGGCAGGGTTAGCAGACAACAAGGCCTCATGATCCTTCCCTCGCTCCCCTACAGGAGGTCGTGGCGCACCGGATTGCTAAAAGCCGCATAGCCATCGAGGAGATCCGCTTGCTGACCCTGAAAGCAGCACACAGCATAGACACCCTGGGCAGTACTTCAGCCAGGAAGGAGGTGAGCTGGCCATCCCACTACAACCGCTGTATCGCCAGCCAGAGGCGCTGCTCCACCTTCTCCCCCCTCCCCCCACCGGCTGTTTCAGGGTGCATGCCCCCGCCTCCTCAACATGGCACTCAGAATCCAGGATATCGCCATGCGGTTTTGGTGTAAAGACTGAATGTATGTGTCACTTGCTGACTTAACCCTCACCGGCCTGCCTGAGGGAATGACTTTCAGGATGCAGAATGCCTTCAGAACTGTTAAAATGCGGCAGTAAGGGACGGGGAAGTTCTGGGCTTTCTACATGCCCAGAATTGATGGTGTCCACCACACCATTCTTGCTAGCCTTTTCCAAAGTGTCCCACATCTCTCTGCATTTGGCCTCAGGCTAGAGAGACGATGGGTAGGGATTGTAGGGGATGATTCTACACACAGTAAATGTCCCATTAAAGACATCCATTGTCCCTGCCTGCTCGTTTGTCCAGCTTATCTGGAGTAAGGACATCATCATTTTGTTCTAAAAGCCCATAAATGTTCTAAGAAAACAAAGCAAAACTGATCCATGGAGCAAAGACCATGAACTTTGTGTGTGCACAAACATTCCAAGTATGATTTACAAGCTGCCTGAAAGCCTTTTGGAAACAAGGCTACTCAGAAATAAATGTGGTCTGGAAGTGAGATCTCTTTCCAGAAGGTCTCTGCTGACTGAAATACGGCCACTCAGTGATTGCCACAGCCTTCTGTTGGCCTCCACCACAGATCCTGTTTCAGCAGTGACTTGGGTGTGGGAACATTTCCTTGTTTTACTTCACAGAGAAATACCAATTCTGTCAAATCCTGGCACACTTTGCGTGGCCCTGGAAAAGCACATTCTTTTCTTATCTTGCTTCTGTAGATTGCTATGATCAAAGTGGCTGCCCCAAAAGCCGTCTGCAAAATAGCTGACTGGGCCATCCAGGTGCACGGAGGCGCAGGCGTGTCCCAGGATTACCCTCTAGCTAACATGTGAGTAAACGTCAGAGAAGAGCGTCCGCACCGAGCGCCGGGGAGATGGTGTGGTGGGTGAGTGCTCTCCACACAGCTTTGGGGACCCGGGTGAAGGTGGGCGCACCAGCACCTGTCTGTAGTTCCAGCGCCTCCTTCAAGCTGGGAGGCAGAAGCAAGGGAATCCGTAGAAGGTTGCCGGCCAGTTAGCCTGGCTTACAAGCAGGGAACAGAGTGGAAGGGGAGATTCAACACCCGAGATTGTTCTCTAATCTCTGCACATGCATGCACACACTCACACACACATGCACACACAGCTTCACAAACATTAAAAAGAATAGATTTTAAAGGATTGGCCCTAAAGAGTGAAATAAAGTGTCGTTCAAAAGATAAAATTAGTTTTGTAAATCTGCAGATGCTCTGACAGTAATTGCTTAGGAAAAGGATAACGGTGCCACCTTTGTGTGATTTAGGGTGGAGCGCTGTGGGACTCGGCTCTCAGACAGCGGGCAGCCACCATCTGACTCGGCCGTGTCAACCTTTGCCCAGAGGAGTGCACTAAGGGCTTCTGGGCTCCAACATGGAGATTCCCCCCAGAACCAGGAGAGAGGGCAGGGCCTGGAGATGTGGAGGGGCCCAGATCCAGGCCCCACTCAGCCACGAGGAGGCAGCAGCTGAATTTGCAGCCTGACTCTGGCCACTGGGGGCATGATGGAAAGTTCCCTGTTCCCCACACATAGGCACTGTGCCACCGTCTCTGTCTCACTGGAGGTATTACCAGCTACACATCCATTGTTAACCTGGAGAAGAGCTAAGCGTGCATCCCCATCCCGTTGGCCGCCTGGATGCCCCAGATCTCGTAGCTCCACTCACTTCACATAGCACAGCAAACCATGAGTGAGGGCAGCCCGCTTACTTCAGGGACAGCATTGCCTGTTCGTCAGCATGGCGGCGCATGACTGTAATTACAGTACTGGGGGGTTGGCTAGCAGCAGGAGGACCGAGGGTGAGTCCCGCCTGGGTATGTAACCAGTTAGAGACCAGCTTCAGCCACACAGAGCCCCCGCTCCAAATCCAAACACAGAACGTTCTGTTTTCCCGAGTTGTTGCTCTTGTTTAGTAACATGTTACCTAGTGGCACATCCTCACTACATATACAGTAGAAAGTGGGGTTCATTATGGCACTTCCGCGTATGCATGCAACCTGCAGGGATGGATGGAAGTTCTTTTTAAAATATTTATGTAGCCCAGGCTAGCCCCTAACTCAACTTGCTACACAGCAAAGGAAGACCTTGAATTTTGGGTATTCCTCTTGTCCCTAACTCCCAAATGCTGGGATTTCAGGCATGTGACATCATGCCTGGCTTCTGTGCAGTGCTGGAGATCAATCTCAGAGCATTTCCATGCTAGGTTAGCACTGTGCCAAGAGAGCCACCCTCAGCCTATAGAAATGCTTTCTTTCACCTCTGGATGTAAGACTTGCTGATGCCTCATTTGTAAGGCTGATCTGATGGTTCTAATCCCCCAGATCTTGCTTGTCTTGGAAAGCATATCTCCTTCATTCCTAAATCTGGCTTTGCTGGATATTATAATCCTATTTGGCAGGTCCCTCCTTTCAGGACCTGGAATACATTCCTTCCTGGCCTGTAGGTTTTCTGCTGAGAAATACGCTGTTAGTCTAAAGAAGACACGGCTGCATGTGGCTAGGTGCTTTTCTCTTGAAGATACTACAATTCCTGCTTTCTCTTGTACATTTGACAGCTTAAGAACAGCATGCCATGGTGAAGATCTTTTCAGATCATGTCTATTTGAGGTCTTAGTTCTCTCTATTATTTCATCAAATAGATTTTATGTTCTCTGAACTTTTTTCCTTGACTCGAGGTATTCAAAAAATGCAGTCAGTGGCATCCTCAGAGCCCTGAATGCACTCTTCTTCCTTTGTATGCCTGTCTGTTTTGGTGCAGCAATGCAAAAGAGAGTTGGGAGGAACTTTCCTGGGGTTCAGTTCCCTCCTGGGCATGCCAGAGCCATAGCTCTGACATTTGGTCTGCTCCCACCACACCTGTGTGGTTTCTGCTAACAACCATCCCTGCGCCTTACTGGCCCAGCTGTGGGTGGAAGACAGATGTTGTCCCTGTGCACATGCAGCATCTGGCCAGGGTCCACTGACGAGGGTGTACAGGTGGAACGTGCCTGGCTCCTTAGCACTGCCGAGGCCAGGAAGGCCAGGAACAGCACTGGCAGCCACCCGCCCTCCTGCCCACTAGGGATTACTGCTCCCACTCTGAGGGCTACTGATCCCGCTGTTAGGACACAGACAGAGCCCCACACCCACTTCTGTCTTCACCTCTGACCTGCCAGCGTCCCCACTCTTGCATGGCCCATAGAAACAGTGCATCACTCTGGTTCTGCCACCAAAGTCCTCAGTGACGTAAAGAAGCTCCCCTCCGTAGCATCTGCTCCCAGCGTCACATAGTCCAGAGTTACCGGCAGCTCTGGGCAGCCATATTGAATCTTCCTGGGCTGGGAACTTTCAAATGGCAGCTTCAGAAGCCTTTGGCTTTCTCTCTTCATGTACCTTGTACTCTTTCTTGGTTTGGGATGAACCTGACACCACACGATTGTGTTCTTTAATAACTCTGACCCCCATTCTTTCACCCTTCCAGGTATGCCATCATACGTACCCTGCGCTTAGCAGACGGGCCTGACGAAGTCCACCTCTCAGCAATTGCCAAAATGGAGCTTCGGGACCAAGCCAGGCGGTTGGCAGCCAGGATGTGAGGGGAACAGTGCTGCTCTATCCTGCTGCCGGAAAGGATGGACACACACTTAATCAGCTCCAAATCTCAAGACTCACATTTCTGCAATAGATTGAGCATGGGGCTAATTATTCACCTGTGGTAAAGATTTTAGCATCTATTTTGATTATGGGGTTTTATAATGTTAAGGATCACAAAGACGTGAGGTAAATAGGACATCTCATAGCTCTCATCATTGAGTCTAGTGTTGTAACGCTTTAACATTTTCTTTATATGCATGTGACCTATGATGAGGTCACACTGGGAATGGTAGAGGTATTTCTGGAGCGTCGGCATAAAAAGCTTGTTAGTTAGACTTTCAGGAATTAACCCCAGGCCTATTTCATCTTGTTCTGAGGCATATATAATTGTGCCCCCTTTAATAGTGTTTTTGGGGCTTAGATTACCACCTCAGAGAAAGACATAACTAGAATTTTTTGAGGTTCCCATGATAAGCCTCTTCCTAACCCAACGGGATGCAATTCCAGTGAGATCTGGATGCAGGTAAAAGCTCAGGAGAAAATGTAGCATGTTGGAAGAACATATAATCACGGCCACTTAAGTTCCGTAGAAAACTCCAAGGAGATCGATGAATAATTGGTGCTACATCAAAGCTCTGTGGCTCCATGAGAGCTGGTCTGGTCAGGTCGCCCTCGAGGCCATTCCTGTCAGAACTGCCCTGAAGTGCAGCTGTGGGTCACGATGGCCCTCTACATCAAAATGTCACTGGCACCACAGAAGAACCGCAAAGTTTTCATTTAAATACATATTTCAGTCCAGTTACTGAGGAAAACTGTTAAGTGTAGCTGTAAAGGCTTGGGCGGGTGGATCTACTTTTTCAGATATGGCTGTTTTGAAATCTCAACACAAAGAGAAATATTTTAAATCCAAATTTGGCATCCAAATAAACACAGTAAGTGTCAAATACACAATTTAAAATATCTCCTGAATAATGTCTTTATATATTGATCATACATTGAATTATATTTTGGTAATATTGAGCTAAATAAAATGTACCCAGATCTTCTCTGTTTCTCATAAAATTCAAATCATTTTATGATTTGAATACTGCTAGAAAAATAGCTGGGAAGTTTTTCAAAATCTCAAACCAAATTATTTTCAGTCCTAAAGATCTTTTAACTTTTTTCATCAGAAAGTGTGTTCATGGTGCGTGATTGTGTTTGGCCAGAGGTCCTTTTTTCTGTTTTGAGTGATAGTTCTTCTTGGGGTGTCATGGCGGGAAAACAAGGGTCTGCCACAGGCCTGGGCTCAGAGCCATGTCATGTTGGCTTGTGCCTCTGGCCCCTCCGCTCTGTCTGCCTCCTTTCATTTTGATACAGTGGGGTCACCTTTAGTCCTGGAGGACGTGTAGGAGCCATGTAGGAGCAGGTTGAAGTCCGGGAAACAGGAAACTGCTTTATACAGTGTCCGTGTTTGAAGGACATCAAATCTTAGAACCAAACATATCTCATTATTAGTCCTTTAACGTTTTGGCTTAGAGGGTATTAGGGGATTGTTTGTTGAGATACCTGGCCTTAAACAACTAACCCTCCTGCCTCTGCCTCCTACGATTATGAGCAGAAACCACCAGGTCTAACCTCAGGATTGTCTCCTGTTGGTTTTGTTTTGTTTTTAGCAATCTGAATTAAGGCTCATGTATTTAAAATCTTGTAAGCACTTTCTCTGTCTCTGAGGAAACATGGCTGTATTGCCTGCAATTAATTTCAGCTCATTCATTGTCCCTCAGGCAGGTCACTCCATGAGACCCGCCTCTCTTTCCTTACCTTTAGTTTACTCAGACAAAATCACATTAAAATGAGAAGAGGAAGAAGGCCAATAGGATGGCTTAGTGGATGAAGACACCTGCAGCCAAGCCTGCCGACCTGAGCTCAGAACTGGGACCCACGTGGTGCAAGGAGGAAATTCCATACATACACACACAACAGATGAACACCCAGAAATAGAATAAATAAATGTAAACAAAATCCAAAAAGAAACATAAAAGATTTTTTTTTGAAAGTGAAAAAGTTCCAAGTCATTTTCATAAGACCAAGGGACTCCAGTCATGGTGAGTGAATGAACTAATGATGATAAGCTTGCGCACTTCAGGCCATTTCTAGAATGCTGCCCCAACCCACCCTCACCTTTGCTGCCTTCTGCCCCATCCCTACTGCCCCAAGGCACTCATCAGAAGTTATCACGGCTCTCTAGGGTTTTTCCATGAGCGTAGTAGCAGAAGAGAAGAAACCTCAAGACTTCAGGATGGCCAGGTGTGGTGGTGCACGCCTGTAATCCCAGCACTTGGGGAGGCAGAAGCAAGCAGATCTCTGTGAGCTGTGAATTCAAAGCCACTCTGGTCTCCAAAGCGATACCAGGTCAGCCAAGGCTACACAGAGAAACCCTGTCTTGAAAACAAAACAAAACAACAACAAAGACTTCAAGATGGGAAGCCTTGCAGAAAGTGGCCATAGCCGTTGTCACCAAGGACACCAAGGGATGGCTGTGTGCTCTCGGGGGAACAGCCAGTTGAGTTCCTCTGCCACAGTGACAACACGTGACACTTACGGAGAAGCTGAGTTCCTCACTAACCTTTGGCTGCTCAAGAGGCCTTTCCCAGGGTGAGTCCACACCAGTCCAGGTGGTCCCCAGTTGGGCTGTACTTACCTGCCATGGATATGTTTATATCTTATGAGGACTAGAGTGGCTGACAAGCTGCCGGCCCCCTGAGAGACTGTATTCACGTGTCTTCATACATCATTCTCTACCTTATTTGAGATGGGGTCTCTCACTGAACTTACTGACTGACCAGAGAGCTCTAGGGATCCACGCCCACCCCCCAGCTAAGCTTATAGTCATAAGCCATCATGGAAGCTGAGACTAAGAGCAGGGTCCTCCTGCTTACACTGCAGGCGCCTTGCTGGCTGAGCCATCTCTGCAGCCCCCAGATTTTGGTATTTCAGTGGACACAAGGCTTGCTAGCAACTACTCTTCCTCATAAACCCAACTATGGCAAGGTCTCCAGAAAGCTCCAAAGAGATATTTACCCAGGCTTCTTAAGGGGTTTGAACTTGTGGCATTCTCCAATAAAGAAGTCACAAACGAAAGACAGTCATGAAAATGACTACTATGAAGGGCACCATACCGCATCAAGCCAGGTCGCCTCACCTTGGTTCTCCACTTTACAAGCAAGTGGAAAGAGGCAGTCCGCTGCAAGGAGCAGAGTTCCAAGGAGACAGCAGGCGAGGCTATGGACCTCTGGCCTGTTTGTCCCTGGCAGAGATTTTTTTCAGCCTTCCTTTTGCCTGGGTTTCTTCAGCTGCCCCCCAACTAAACTTGCAGTCATAGCCTACCCGCTGGCTGCTGCGGCCCTCTTGAGTGTGTGGCTGCCTTCCCCCTGACTGAGAATTTAGCCAGAATCCTCCCTTCAGCTGGCTATGTTCTACCACAGCTTGTCCAGGCCTGAGCCCCTCTGATTGCCATTGCTGGCTCGGTCCAACATGGTCTCCTGGCCTCTGTCCCAGCACACTTATACACCCAGGTCCCTGAGCCTTGGCTCTTGCTGCTCTCTCTGTTTGCAGAGATTTACTGAGATTTTCCAGGGACCTGTTCAAAAGCCAAGTGTCCTCTCTTGGCCATTGTCCTAACCCTCTTCGACATCCTTCATTTGTTCTTGTCTTCTCAGTGTTGGCTCACTCTTTTCATATTTATCATATTTTCATATTTCATATTTATGGCCTGTTTTTCCCATAAGTGTATATGGACCCCATGCTTTCCCCTCCATATTCATGTTTTGCGTGCATGTGTGTCTGTCAGTCTGTCTGTCTGTGGTGAGGCAGTGGGCGGTGGGGTGCGTCCCTGGCATGACCACCACTTACTTGTGCTCAGAGTTAGGGGTAAAGATTAAAGCTGAGGCCCGGAAGAGAAGCTGTAGTCTGAGCCCCAGGCCATGAGTGGCTGCAGGTTGGGAGCCAACCCAGGAGAGCTTGAGTAGATACAGAAAAACTAACCCTAAGGAACAGGCTAACACAAGGGAAGACCAGAAGTCTGGGAAGACCGACTGATGAGTATTAACCTCCAAAGGGGTACACATTTAGCTTTTCTCTTAACATCTAATCAGGGCTGCGATCAGCTCTAGACAGAGGGGACATGGGGACACCTAAGAGAAACAAAACCAAATCTGGTGATTGTTAGAACTTTCCAGTTTCCCAAATAAGCAGGATTCTGGGAAGAGCCGGCCCTTAATCCATTGTCAGTGTATGATCCCACCATAACATCTTCTCTACCTTCCAGCGTGTCTTCCTCATGATGGCGCCTGCATGTCCCTTTTATGGTTAACTCACGTCTTCAGTGTAGGTGGTTGTGAACAGGCTTGCCTGCCTTCTCTTTATCCTGCAATGCGGGCAGGTTTCCCCTGGAGAAGCATTACCCAGGGCACAGCCTGCGTAAGCACAGGCCAGGTGGAGAAGGGCTGCCGCGAGGCAGCTTGAGAGGCTGTCCCCAGGTCGTGGCTGACGGCTGAGGAGCGATGGGGGTTCTTCCCTGCCACTCCTCCGGGGCCGGGGGAAGCGGACACCGCAGGCTTGGTCCTCCACCGCTCCAGTCAGGGTCCATGCTCTGCTTCCTCCCTCCGCACCAGCGGCGCTGGCCATCTGCTGTCTAGACATTTGCTCACCCTGGGGTCTCTGCACAGCCATTTGTTTACTTTGAAAGTTTCCCTCGCCCCATCCCATGTCCTCAAGGATTACCACCATCCTGCAATTGTGACCTTCCAGCTCTCCCTGCTAAGGCCACGCCTGTAACGTCTCAACCTCCCCACACATGCACATACCCTTCCTCCCCTTAGCTCCCTGGGTTCCTTTGCATCATGTGACTACTGTACACTTTTCTTTGATTTGTTATCCCCTCTTCTGCTACTAAGGAGTATGTATATTCTTTTGTCTGTTTTTCTCTCTTTCTCTTCCCCCCTCCCTTATCTTGTGATGAATCCCAGGGTAGCCTCAAATTCACAATCTTCCTGCGTCAGCCTCCCTAATATACTTCGGCACAGAAAGTCCTTTGACTGATCCCTGGGATCTGGAAAAGTGCCTGGAGCACAGAGTAGGTCCTCAGCCAGTATTTCATGAATATTTCAGTATTTCAGCGCCCCTGCTGCAGGAAGGAGGGGTCCTTGACTATATATCTATAGGAGAAGGGCAGTACAGGGTTGCATTTCTCACTGGCCATACTGTCATTTAGAGAGAGAGAGAGAGAGAGAGAGAGAGAGAGAGAGAGAGAGAGAGGATGTCTGTACCCCATAGCACACATGGAGAAGTCAGAGGACAACTTTCTAGAGTCTGTTCTGTCATCTACCATGTGGGTCCCAGGCTTGGTGGCAGGTACTCTGGCCCAGGCCCAGGGAGCCTTCTTGCTGGCCCCCAGAGCTGAGCATCAGAGTTTCCCAAGAAGTCTGACATTCCCAGAGCCCTTCCAGCCTTGATGACTGTGACTTTGGCAGTAACAAGATCCACCAGGAGTCTGCCGAAGCCAGGATGGAGGTAGAGACATACATTCTAAATCTCTGCCATGTCTGTGAGGGTGTTTGACTAGGCAGAGACTGACAGATAATGACAGGAGACAGGAAATTGTGCGGTGACTATGGGATGGGAAGATGAGGCTGACACAGGCGGGAGCCAAGGGTTTGCAAGTGGGACTGGAGCAGCCACAGCAGACCATTGGGAGCTACCTGAGGTGGGGACCTCCATCTGCCCTCAGCCCTTGAACTGTCTGTCCGTGCATGCCTTGTGGCGCCCTGAGCACGGTGCTCAGCCACACTTGGTGACAGTTCAGCCACTAGGCTTTCTAAGCAAATAACTTATCTGGCGCTGCAATAAGAATATAAAAATGAAATGCACACCTCGTTTAAAAATCTAGGTGGTCAGGGAAAGAAATGCTCCAGAATTTTACTCTTCCCTTTCTAAATTTTTATCCAGGCCTCAAAATTACATTTAAAAAAAAAAGCTTTTTTTTCCCATTAGTCTCAACTTTCTT